TAACGCATCGGTATCATTTTCAAATTATGTAAAATTTATTACTGAATAAATACTGTATATATTTTTTTTTAATTGAATGGTTTAGATTAATTTATCATGATAATAAAAATTGAAGGTAACTGATAAATAAGCATGACGAGTATAAATGAAACGAAAATCTCATGTTACACGGACTGTGTGACGTTTCTATGAAAATGTCACCCTTGAAAATGGAAGAAATTTGACATCAGGGATCAATTAATTGGCATTTCCGTCATCCAAGCCGCAAATTTCAAAAGAATGCCGTAGAAAGCCATGGGAAGGAAATTTTAATATAAAAATGCTTCGTTTCGCTCTTAGTTTACGATAGAATTTGAACATTATTTAAATATTCATTTATTGTAATTGTTCAATAACATTTAATAAATTTATTTTCTTTATTTTCTTCAATAAAAACTTTATTATTTTATTTATTAAACTGATTTACATTTATTTCTTCGCTAAATTACATCGCATTCAATAAACTAAATAAAATACATTAATTACCTTTCGAAAATAGAAGGTAACACATGACGATCTATAAAATATTTCAAAAGTCAGAACCGAAAGTGCATCATATTCGAGAAAATATAATGAAAGTGAAGGAGCAAGAAAAAGAATTTTACAGTAAAGTGTGTGTGGCTGAGAGTATCAAAATTGTCTCGGAAGAAGCAAGTGAGAAGTGTATTGGACTGATAGAATATGACAAATTTTCTTTTAACCTAGTGACAACATTACTAGCAAGAGACAAAGAAGTTGTGGCTGTCTACTTGAAGGCTATAGTTTACATTTCCAAAAACAGTGAATGGCTTAAAAAAGATAATGAATATATCAACAAAATCCAGAATTACCTGCAAAAATTATCTGATTATATCATTGGATGAAGAATGATATAATGACTTTACGTTCCGACAAGCTCGAATCTAAATTTTAAAAAAAAACTTAAAAATGACATAATTTATCGTCGACATAATAAGTCTTTCTAAATTTGATTTATTCGTAGATTATTATAAAATGGTTTAAAAAAACTAAATCCAGAAAAAATTTCTAAGAAATCTGGGTCTTTTATCAATATCACAGCATGCGCGTGTAATGACGAATTGAATCGGCTCAAAATGAGTCGACTCGAGTCGGTTCTGGAACCGATTCTAAATTTAGCAGATTATGAATCTCCTGACTTAACAAATATTAAAAATATGTAGAACTAGAACCGACTCTGGAACCGACGCTCAAATCTCAAAATTATGACGGTCACAATACAATTATCGTTTGATGAATTGATCTTAATCACATGTTCTATCTGATTTAAATTTAGCTAATGAGAGCCCGATGAAGAATCGAAATAGAACCGACCATCCCTAAATGCAAAGCACAGAACCTATTTTCTAACATTGAATTGCATTAATTATTGTTACCTACCAACCCATATTTTCATTGAAAGATATTATTCAAAATTATTATATATTTAATGATGTATGAAGGTTTTAAAAATGATGCATGCTTGAATGATTTGATTATGTTACCAAGGAAATATTAAAGGCAATAGATAATAATGGATGAAATTCAACGTGATGGGATAATGTGAAATTTTGATCAAATTAATTTTAAGATCTATTCAATTTGGGAATTTGGTCTATTTATTTTTACCTTTTTAATCTTTTACAAGAAAAATATGGGGTTTAATCTAAGATAATCAAGTTCTGAGAACTTTTCAAAAATTTCTCAGAACATGATTTTCTTAGATCACAACCTAAAGTACTTTGCAAAATATGAAATGTTTTAGCATTAACATTCAAAATCAAAACTTTATTTTTTTTGTAAATGATTATAAATAATTATAAATGTAAAAGCTGATAAATAAAATAGGAGCAAATGTTTCAAGAGTAAAAAAACCCATAAATTGGAGTACTTACCGCTACTTCGTATAATATAAAATAATGCTGCAATGCCCTCGACGCTTGTTTCTAAAATTTCCTAATCACAGCATCCACTTCACCTCACATAAAAGTAATGTATTGCAGATGAGTTTTGCTTCAATTTTTGTACAGCTGCCGAATTAGGTACATGAAGTTGCTTATGTACGTGAATATGTCCTGCAGCTTACTTTAATTTTATTTGTGAACTTATCTTTGTTTGCATTTATGATGTAATCGAATAAAATGTTATACTTTGAAGGATTATAAAAGAAGTCATCTGACTAACGTCATACATTTTTATGATTTCTAGAAGTCTAAGAGACGAATTAGTAAACTTTTATCGTTATAAAAATTTTCTCATTACGGAAGTCGACAAGCCGAAATAGTAACGTAAACTTAGATGTTTAAAAAGGAATGGAAAGGAATTTACAATAAATAAAACAAAATAATTTTATCCTTCTCACCTACTTTTATGCTTTTCAATTTTTCGAAATAAAACAAGACTAATACTTTTTTTTCTAGAAAAAGTAAAATTTCGCAAACTAGCTCGAAGGTAGCTTCAGTTTAGAGAATCAAATTGCACCAATTACTAATATAATGTGTGCAATTTAGAAGATATAACTATAAATGAATATATGTGTTGATGTTACCCTTTTATATCAACCAATTTCCTTATTATTAACATTTAAAAGTTATAACTGATCGCAGCACTTTTTTTGTTTGTGTAACATTTATAAGAAATCGAAATCTATCAATAAAGACTTTTAATGAACAGAAAAAAAATTATCGATATTCCTTCGCACGAAGAATACTATAAACTATTATATATTATATTATATTTTCTCAAATAATTAAAAATAATGCATTTTTGTGTCATTCTCCTTTGAATAGTGACAAGAAATCATCATCATTTGCTTCAGAATATATCAATTCTTGAAAAGTTAAGTGGATTCTTCTTTTTATAATTTATTAGTGAATTTTAAAGTCTCGATAATAAATACATTTATCAAAATCTTATGACATTTTGTGATGGAATTAAATTTAAAAGTAAAAAAATAATAATTCTATGATAAATATGATAATCTACATTATTAAAACCTATCATCTTCATCATCAAAACTACTAAAAAAAAAGTTAGTGTTACCTTCTTATTTTTTCGATCGCTATATTTTACGTGTCGGATCATTTCCGAAGTGTAGCGGAGGACAAATGCAGTCCGTGTGTCCAGCTGCGTGATCAACAAATGAAAATATCAAAAGAATGTAGTATCACTCGAATTAAGGATCGTTTATTTGTAATTAAAAACAAAAATTTTAATTTAAAAAAAATTTTTTTTCTATCTTGAGATAATGACTTGCAGGAAATATAAGTTTCATTTCTTAATATTAAGCTATTTCTTCTTAATTGTTGAATCGTTTACTCCTTTCGGGCGTCTTGCTCATTCCTCTGTCCTTGTTGAAAATAAACTTTATATTTTTGGCGGGGTTACTGACGATTATTCAAATGAAGTTTTTTATCTTGATTTATCTCAACAATTTAATGCAGAGTACCCGCCATGGACTGACCTTACATTAAATTCAAGAATAGGTTTCAAAAGTTGTTATGCATCTACCGTACTAATTAATAATAATAATAATCCGACTATTTACCTAATTGGTGGAATAATGCGAAATCAAAATAATGAGGATTCATTTATTTCTCTAGTATATGAATTTAATCTAAAATCGGGACAGTGGATCATGCCTGTAATGAAAGGAATTGTGCCAGAACGACGTAGAGAATTTCAAGCTGTTGCTGATGATTTTGGAAATATTTATGTTTTTGGCGGAATTGCAATAGGATCAAATAATTTTCAAATATTTAATGATATGGCAATATTATATACTGTTGATTTAACATGGTCATATGGTCCTATTGTCAATGCTCCAACACCACGTGCTGATTATACTGCAACATTATTATCAGATGGTGTTATTGTGTATATTGGAGGCCGTGAGAGTATCAATGCAAGTCTGGTAGATATTACTCAACTTTATCTCTATGATACAAGGTTATCTTCTTGGTCAATAGTGGTATGTACTTATAAAATAACTCCACTCTTTTTGAAATTTAAGTTGAAATGTTTTTTTCTATTTACCAATTAAGCAAGCAAAAAGTAACGGTCTAATTGAATCTCGCTTTTTACATTCGGCAGTACTAGGTATATCTATATTTTTTTTTTTTTACAAATAAAAATTTTTTAAACTATAGTGATTATGTATCTATATTTATTCAGTATCAGATGGAAGGATCATAATTTATGGAGGGGCAAAGGATACTGTCATTGCGAATGATGTCAAAGTTTCTCCAGATTTGGCAGTTTTAAATACTCAAACTTCTCCATTTGAATGGACTATCCCGCAGGTATCAAAATCAGTTGAAGTTCCATCGCTTACAGTTCATACAGCAAATTTATTAGGAAATTACATGATTGTTGCTTTTGGTAAATAATTGTTTGAAGATTATTTTTTAGTTTAATTTTAAATTCAGCATTAACTGTGTTGCATTATAGGAAATATAACTCAGCCAAACGCTTCACCATTAGGTACAAATTCACGAATATATTTGTTAGATATTAGAAGCTATAGTTGGGTTGAAAAATTTGAGCCTACACCTATAAATGATACGCCATCAAACTCTTCTTCAATTACTACAACTTCAATAAATTCTACAACTTCTGCAGAAACTGCAAATATTTCGGAAAATCAAATAAGTAAAGAAGCGAAAATTATAATAGGCACTATAAGCGCAACTTTCAGCGTTATCATATTTTTAGTAATTGTAATTTTTAGTTTTAAATGGTATCAAAAAAGAAAACTTGATAATATTATGAGAATTTCTGGCAATATTTTATAAATTTAAATTATATTCTACTTTTCACTAAAATCCAATGTTTACAGATGCCTAGTTTGTCCTGATACATTCATTGAAATAATCAAAGCTTTAGTTTTCTATATTTTCAATAACAAAAGCATTATTAATATGTATTAGAAACTTTCAATGGAATGATTCTTCTAATTTCAATTCCTTCTACTTTCCAAAAAATTTAATTTATATTGGATAAGTTCAATAGATCTATAATAGACATTGGATTTATCGACCTACATAATTTTATTGGCTATTTTTTTATAAATAATTTGATATATTTTAATTGTAAAGCTTATAATCCATTAAATACGAATGCTAGAAATATGAATTATATTTATTTTAATTTTTAATATTTAGAGCATCTAATAAAAGTTTGAAATATTATTAATATCAACTAGAAGTTGTGATATGCAGGGGACTTCGTCCCCCATTAAGCGTCAGATTAAATATCTTATATTCATATAAATAAATTTATATTATAA